TGTACACTGAGATGATTCTGTGGAAATTCTAGGTGGGATCCATGGATTTCATTTTGGATGTAAGGGCTGTGAGGATGTCAGGAGGTAGATCTGAGCATGTGGAGATACTGCCCTTTTCTAGCAGTTGGCATTCAGAAGAAATATAAATATTTAGGATTCCTTAGAGTTACAGGGGAATAAAATCTACCAAAAGAGCTTCTACAAGGAGAAGAAGAAAAAGCCAAGACAAAATATTGGGGAACACAGAATCTAAGTCTGTAAGTCACTGCCTAGAGATAGTTCCAATTCAAGAGAAATGTATGCAAATTCAAGAGAATTCATTATAACCCCATAGTCAGTCAGTGAGAAGGGGAGAGAGAGAGAGGAAGAAAATAGGATAAAAACTCTTCATGTTTTGCCTACTAGTCATGCTATGCTAAGGGTAGAAAAAAAGAATAGTAAGAATATTAGTTATTATTAATAGCAATATCATCAATTGCATATGATTACATATATTTTAGACTGAATATTAATGCTATTGGCATTAATAACATTATGATTCTTGGTAATGACCTACTTGTTATTAATAAACTTTTTTAGAGATTATGACGTGGTTAATATGCAGTAAGTGCCGCCTATGCGTCTCTCCCTCCAAGGCCAACTCAGCCTGCATCAGCCTCTGCTGAGGTCAAACTGCGAGTCGCCTGGGGAAGAGGCTCCCTCCACACCCCTCCCTGCCCTGGCTTGTGGTTAGGATTACTCCTGAGTCCTCTAGACTTCTCACAACTCTTCATTTAAGTGTCCTCAGGATCACATCCTGTCTTTGATGTTGTTTTGGTTTATGTTCCTGTAGAAGCAAATACAAATGCAAATGCAAGAGATTTACCAGGAGAAACACAAGAGAAACACAAGGAAAAGATATGGGTTGTAGGTAAGCCAGAGAAAGCTGTGAGAGCCTTCAGACTGCTGGAGGTCTGGCCTCAATACAGGAGGACAATTGAACAGCGCCTCAGACTACACCACAGTTCCAGGAGAGGTTTGGAGGATTTGGTTAAGGCGATGGAATATCTTCAGACTGAAATTTCCAGTTGCAGGTACCGTGTCTCAGAGGATAGATGTACCTTTGTGCCCCGTCACATGCAGGCAGGCATTGGCCAGGAGGAGCGGCCTCACCACAGATACAGCAGTGGGTCCAGAACACTTGGGAACAGTCCACAAGCCACCACGGATGCCCTCAGTGACTTGTGAATAAAACAGCAAACAAAACTCAGCATACGTGGCCCTGCATCATTATTAATTATTTTGATTTTGTTCATTCAGTTAGACTATAAAGCTTTCCTTGAACATCAGTGCCTGGCAACTGTGTCGGTCCTGCCCTCAGAGAGCAGTTGCTCAACTTATTTATCATAATTAGAAAAGTTTTACTGTGTTGTTTAAATTTATCCAATAATTGTAAGCAATGGGAGTTTTCACACAGGAAACCTGATGGGAGAAATTAAGAGAATGTGGTTGGATTTCCATAGATATAGCAATGAATTCTAGAGGGCAGGAGAACTAGAGCACGCGAATTAGATATTCCCACTGGAAGGAAGCAGACAGCTGGGACCAGGCATATACCTTTGAGGAGATGAAGTCCAAATAGAAATATGGAACACACCCAGAGAACATGCTGCAGAGGGCAGGTGCAGGCTGAGAACGGGGTGGCAGAGGTGCAGGAAGGTGCAGTGATCACAGACATGAGGTTACAGCACGCTCCCTCTTTCTGAGGATCAGCTTTTGTACCCAGAAGGCTGGTTCTTACATATCATGACACCATTTTTTAACCTGGGTTAGTTGAACCAAGAGAGATACCTCCCTGAAAGTGAACCTCGGGGAAGTTTGGAATTTTGAACTATTTCCTTGACCTGAGACGATAAGTTCACAATAAGGCTTTCAGAGACTTTTGGGGCATGCATATAAGCTGGAAAGCAGGAAAACTGGCTTGCAGAAAATTAAGAATAATTCAGGCATTCCTAAAGGAGCAGAGATGGGAGACAGTGTGACTACAGGGGAAGAAAAGGGAGACTAAGAACTGCTGCCTGAACTCATGAAACATCTCATTGATGGGTCTGATCTCCAACCCATTTCCTTAGGCTCTGTGATAACCCACCAGCCCTAGATAAATTCTGTGTTGCTTAATACAATTTAAGTGAAGTTCTAACAGTAGTAGCCAGATGTCATTGCTTGAGACACTACTTTGGCAGATATACTCAGTACGCAAATAGGAAATGCAGGAACCTGGAATGTGCTGAGGTGGTCTCCATCAGCATTAGGAAAGATAATGGAAAGAGCAGCACAAACAGAGTGGTCCAAGCGAGGCACTTCCCAGTCTGAAAGTAATTTCTCAGCCTGGAAGGAATCTAGGAAGTAAGACTTCTCAGGTCAAGAAGTGTACACACAAGATTTGCTTATAAGAGTTAGAGTGTCAGTGGAGACTTTGTCACAGGAACAAGGCAGAAGTTGGTTATCAGAAGGTCAACAGCAGACTAGGACATTCTGATCTTTTGAAAATAGGGTGTATGAGGATGGGATACATTTCCACATTCCACAAGAATTATCTACCATCCCTTGTAGTGTGTCAGCATCTTAAGCTGGGGTTCAACGTGCTGTAAAGTGAGGTCTGCCCAGGAGTTGAGACCTCACGGTAGCTTCTATGGAGAACTAAAAGAAGCCATCGCTGGGGACCTGGTTAATCTTGAAGTGGAGTGCATGGCAGATCGTTGGAATTTGGAACATCCCACAGCAAAACAGACCTAGAAAAAGTTAAAATTGAAAAAAATTTTTTAAATCATAGAGATAATATATTTTGACACGCAGCAAAGAGGAGATAGCACGTGGAAGAGTTATTCAATAAGGGAACTAAGAAAGCGTCAAACACAGATTGTCTGTGTATTGGTTTCTCCTGAGGCCCTGGTGACAGCTGATGCACCCATGCTAAATCGTTCTTGTATCTTCTTTAGCTGGTTGAACTATTACAGAACACACCTGCTCTCCTTCATCAAAGGCAAAGTTAAAATGCAGGAGGAATCTAAAGTCCTGTTCCTTTCCAGATTCACACCAGAATGCCAGAGAGGCAAGACTAGACTTGTAAAATATACTTCAGCTCAACATTTTGTGATTTACCTTCTAAGCTTGAGCTTCAGGGAAATACAGTGGAGGTACAGTGAGAAAAGAGGAAGAGGAACTGAACAGCAGGGTGAAAATCACTTGATGCCCCATAGGCTGTTGTTCACCTCAAGGGAGAAGCAGATTGAAAACCTAATCTGCCCTGATCCCCCTCTATGCCACTTAACTACTTTGCATTTCTTCTGATCGTACTTTTCATGGATACTCCAAAAACACTGCCCTGGTCATTAGTCTCTTTTCTGTTGCTATAAAAGAAAAATACTGGAGAGAGGTACTTTATAAAGAATAGGAACTTGTTTAGCTCACAGTTCTGGAAGCTAAGAACCTCAGAAGCTTTATGACAGTGCTGTACGAGCTCAGCGTGTGCTGACGACCGTATTGCTGCCTTGTAGGCTGGCAGAGGGCCTCACATGAGAGACGGCGCGCATGCCCTCCCAGGCTCCTCTTCCTATGAAGCCAGGGGGTTTCTTTCTTACAAAGACAGTGAAGCCATAAGGGGAGCCCCAAGCTCATGACCTCTTTGAATCCTAACTACCTTCTGAAGGACCTACCTCCAAACACTGTTAGGGGCTGGGGATTTAGCTCAGTGGCAAAAGCGCCTGCCTGGCAAGCGCAAGGTCGTGAGTTCGGTTCCCGGTACCGGAGAAAAACCAAAAGAGAAAAATAAATAAATAAATAAAAGAGACAAGGACACCGTTAACCCATCGTATTGGGGTTTTCAACAAACGGACTCTGGAAACACGCAAACCTCAGCGCCTGGGAATAGCAGGGACTCCCAAAACAGCATGCTAATTAACCTTGACAAGACACGATAAAAGACATACAGTACTAAGAATGAATCTAAGCGTAACAGGTGAGCAGACATACTATTGCTTTGCTATAGTTTTGCTCCCTTATCAGTCCCTCAGCCATTGTCCATGGTATTAAGTAGAGCCAGAAGACAAAAGTTCAGTCAGAAATTGCTGGTTGGCTCTGACTGGCCTAAGGAGAACTGATACCCAACTTCCTTAAATTTTGATCTCATTGTAAAACGCAGTAATAATGTTTGTGCTAATGCTGTGCTGGTGATTTTGAGAAGCATGTGTGAAAACAACTGCAAATGGATCAAACACAAACAGAACATAGTTTTTTTAGTCACAAGTAAAGCAATTCATCTGTACCAGAACCTGGTTCTCCTTACTAGCTCTTGGGCAGTTCCTTTGAGTCCCAAGTCTTCATTCTTCTTTTCCAAAAAAAGTATGAGAATATTCCCTGCTTCACACAGCTTCTATGTAGATGAATATAAGACACATATTTTAAAGTCTAAAGAATGTATAAATGATTACAATTGAATTCTTCATAATAGTTCAGAATAGGATAATATCAAGAGCAAATATGTTTTTGCTGATAGAATTATTACTATGATTTTAAATTAGTATGCCTATACTAGATTTTTTCAAAAATATTCTCAGAGAATGTTTCAAATTCTATAGAAGATTCAAATTGAAGTAAGTTTAATTTAAATACAATATAGTCATTTAAAAAATGAAACAGCTATACATCAAAAATAACTGAGTGCTTCCCTCTGGTTCCTTTGTGTATTCCATTTTTAATGTAGTCTTTTAGAAAACAAAAGTGTTCTACTCTACTTTTGTTCATAATCTATCATTTTAGTACTTCCTTGGGTTGAGAAAAATGTGGTTATACACATACATATGTACATATGACTAAATATGAGAAGAGTCTGGTTAGCCGGTGTGACTCAGTTTTACATCAAGATTATTATTTGAAGGAGTTTTTTTTTTTTGTATTTTTTCAAAAATAAGTTCTTATACTGATTATATTCTAATGTTCTTTAATCTTTCTTTCTTTACAAGATAATAGTTGGAGAAACAGCTGTGTTTTGCCTACAACTTGCCACAAGAGATTTTGAAAATCAGGAAAAAACTATTTTAACTGGAGACTGTTGCTATATAAACCCACTGGTGCGCCGAACTGTCCGATTTCTTGGTATGTGTTCCTTGAAATGTTTTTATTCACGCTGAAACAATATTTTCACTCTATGCGAATATTGGTTGTAATTTCTGTGAAATATTTCAATTTCATTTTAAAAATGAAACATACCACTTTATCACATTGCAATATTCCACTTCAGGAGTCATTTCCACATTAAGGAAGAAAATGACCTCAAATACGTGAATATTTAATGTTCTTTAAGAAACTAATAATTGTATAATTAACATAAATTACTTATTATGTTTATAAAATTTCAGAAAAAACTTGAGAATTGCTACTTATTAAATGCTGTATTTAATAAGTAGTACTCTGTGCTTTACTTCTGAACTATTTTTACATAAATAAAAATATTGGTGGTTTTCTTAGAAGTTAGATTCGTTGGTGCTTTAATTTTCAGTTTCAGGCATTACCATCAATAAACATGTACATTGACAAATTACTGAACATTATTTAAGTTCAGTAGAAATTTGGTCAAAACCACTTACTTAAGTAAAACAACAAAATTGAATATAAATTGCTGTCTCAGTTTTAGCAGATGAAGGTGAGTATATCTTTAAACAGAAAATTAAAAAGACTGTGAATAGAGCTCAGTGATAAAGCAGTCCTGGGTCTGAAAGCTAGTACTGTAAAAAACAAAAGTAATAATTCATATTTATATATTAACTTCTAAAATAAATTGTAATCAATATTATGAGGTCCATGAGAGTTACTGTAGCCATTCAATATATTTCCTCTGTTGAGGGGATCAAGAAGAGAACATTGAAAATTATGCACGAATGACCTAATAGATAGATAAACTCAGTAAATACTAATCAGATACCTTTAGGCCTATAGACCTCTCTAGAGAAAAAAGGCCTTCCTATCCATCAAGTGTTCCTTTTATTGCCATCAAGTTATGTATCTTCAAAACCCTCCTTTATCTTGTTGAGGAATAACTTTTATATGCAACCTTATAAAGTTATTTTTTAAAAATGCATCAGTATTTTTTTCTTGATTAATTTTTCTTTGTATGAGAGTCATGTAAAATAACCAAATGAGGAATAACCCAGACATACAAAGCTAAAAGCATTTTATGAGTTAATGCTTTCCTAAATACTGTTAAGCAAATTATTTTCTGTCTACTTAAAAGTAAAATATTTTCCTGCCCTTACACACACATTTCTAAATAATGTGTGGCACCAAGTAAGCTGTGTTTTTAAGTCTTTGCCTATTAATTACTTATATGATTTTATAAAACATTTAGGAAAACTTGATTTCTTTCTTGTTCCTTTTTCACGATTTGGATGTTTCTAGTTTGTCCCATTAAAATGGAAGCTTATAATTTAAACATTGCTACAGAAGAAGACCTCCCTCTGTGCAGTGACTATTCTTGAGGTCAGCAGATCAGATCACTCATGGGGTCCCACTTGAATAATTATTTGTGTTGTTTACTGCATGATTGACCTTGGATCTGATGCACTGACATTGTAATTCTAAAACACATTTGGGAATTTAACAAGGATCAAGAGACATTTCTGTATTTGGATCAAATACTTGTTGTGCTAGATAAGAATAGTTGAGTTACATAAAATGAATATATGTTACCCTAGATTTTTAAGGAATATAGATGAAGAAAACTTGTAATTTAGATTCCTGTGCTTGGTCCTGGGGTTTAGAAGAGGGGACTGTAGACAGTAACATCTTACTGAGCTCAGTTCTCTTTAATTGTCTACTTTTCCCAAACTTCTGCTTTCAATAACCTTTATTTTGTATATGAGTCATGGACTGCTGATGAGAGTAAAAAAAAGGTATTGTTACTGTTTTTGATTAAAATTTTAAGATAAAAGAACTAATATCTTTCTTTCATTGATATTTGGATATTATATGCAAGTTTCTGTGCATAAATCTTTTGTGTTTGCATAGTGCATAATATTTGGAAATTTTAAGAACCATGCCTTTGGGGCTGGGGATTTAGCTCAGCGGCACAGCGCCTGCCTGGCAAGCACAAGGTCGTGAGTTCGATTCCTGGTACTGGAAAAAAAAAAACAAAACAAACCTGCCCCCCCAAAACCAAAAACTAAAGAACCATGCCTCTAATGTTGGAAAATCATTGTATCCTGTGCAACTTTCAAGGTGATTTTCCATATAATAGATAATAATGATGAAAGGTAGAAAACAATCAAAAACTATGTGACTAAGAAGAAAATCTAGTTTTATAGTGAAATTATATAACTTAAATGAACCATTGAATCCAGGAAGTATGGTTTTGGTATAATGTTACAAGGTTCTGATGGATTTTATTTTCTAAAATTATAAAGTATGGATTTCTTTACATCAAGACCACATCCTTGAAGATTGTACATTTATTGAAATTGATAGCAAAGAATTTATTTTTTGCCTAAGTTTTGATAACAGTGACCAGTGATTCACAATTAGAACACAGTTTTGGTATTCATCTAAATGTACAACATTCTTACAAAAGGAGAAAAAAAATTGTGTATTTAATTGTATACCTACAGGTAGGTCAGGTGAATAAATTTTAATAGCATAAAGATATTTAAATTTATAATATTAATTGCTTTATTGTCCACTAAATTGACCCACATTTAATAAATAACCAATCTATAAAAGAGAGAGAACTAAATTACCAGCTGTTCTGTGCTTTTTATTTTTTTTTTGTTGTTGTTGTTCTGTGCATTTTAAAAATATGTTTCTGAAGGCAGTGTAGAGTTTAATTTGAAAAAAGTTTGCTTTACTTAAGATTTTCCTCTATACTTACATGAAAATGGATGGCATTGGATTTTACTGCTAATTGGAACCTCCAGCAGAGATAATACCAATCTGAATGGGCTGAAGAGGCATAATCAGAGAGAGAAAACTGCTTTGCTTTATGGTTAGTGAGAAAAAATATTTTCAAAAACACAGAAACAATCAATATTGCTAACATTAGTGAAACATGATAGATGATACCCTCTCAGGGGATACAGGTCTCTGTTTAAACATGGCATTACCCAGACATAGTCTTAGCATATATTTTCTTATTTTATCTTATGTCTTATAAACTTGCCATGCATAGAAATGTGGCCTGTGGTAGAGAGCTCAATGCGTTAAATAATTTAACACTTCCACTACTCTAGAAAGGCAAGGGAGAAACTGGAAAGGAGAGAAGTAAAATGAACCAAGTGTATGTATGTATAGACTATGTTATAGTGTCTTAAATATTTTTGTTTTGACTTATTGTGAGCTGATATACAAAGAAGAACAGAGCTAAGACTCTTTGTTTTCTTCCTCAGGAATTTATACGTTTGGACTGTTCGCTACAGATATCTTTGTAAATGCAGGACAAGTCGTTACAGGAAATCTGGCTCCACACTTCCTCGCCCTGTGTAAGCCCAACTACACAGCGCTTGGGTGTCAGCAGTACACGCAGTTCATCAGTGGGGAGGAGGCTTGCACGGGAAATCCAGATCTGATCATGAGGGCGAGGAAAACCTTCCCGTCCAAAGAAGCGGCCCTCAGTGTGTATGCAGCCATGTATCTGACAGTAAGTAAGGAGCGCACGTTCACCTGAGCTTGTGTTTCTGGTCGTTCTTCCAAGCCAGAGAGACTTTCCTTGCCATAACGAAAGTCACTCGGACACTAGTAGTAGCTTTCTATTGGCCTTTTGATTTATTGCTAAGAGTTGCTGTTGGTACTGTGAATGAAATTAAGTCACTGACCCTCCTGAGATCATGTGTGGGGAGCTGGTTACATTAAAGGTATAGCCGTTTGTATTTCTATCATGAATATTGTTTGTCTTTCTATTAAGTAGGACTTAATGGAAACATATTTGCTCTGTAGCACTCACCACGAACTGGTAATTGTGGTAATAGTGCAATTAGGAGAACTGTCTGGGCTCCCGGCTGCCTACTCAAGTGCTCATAGTCCCTCATGGGGGTCAAGAGAAGACACTGTTTATAGAAAGCGCTTTTATTATTGGTAATCGCGTCATCCTAATATCTCAGTGTTTTAGTATTTTCTCACAGTAACCAAAATACCCTCAGAACCTGTATTTTAGCTTTATTATGGATCACTTGCTATCATTTTAGGGGTGAGAGCAGGGCCCCAAGTGCAGCTGTCTTAAGACCTTTAAGTGGGAGTAAGTGGTCACTGCTGAGTGCATTATTGGTGTAGGAAAGAATGAAAAAAACAACAGGCTTGGTGGCTGGCTCTTGACCCCAGTGCCCTGTTATCAACCTTTCCCGCCATCACCGGGGTGAGTTGAACTCCAAGTGTTCTCCAAGAGGAACTTTAGAGAACTTAAATGCCTTTGGGGTTCTCCTTTCCAGTGGAACCAATGTCTACTTCCTTCTGATTTCAGGTTATTAGCATGGGATTTGTAAAGCCTCGGTCCCAATTTGAAGCCCAACTTATTTCTAATGACTTGGAAAAATTCAGGATTTTTTTATTTTCAAAAAGCTACTTGATGACGGAAACGTTTCTCATGCAGTCATGTCAGGCTCCCTGAGAGCAGAGAGAATCTACAACAGTACCCTGTGACCCTGCTTCCTAGGAATGGAAATAAAGATTGCTGAATGGAAGGACAGTTTAGAAGGGGAATACACCATGGCACACCGCCGTTACACTGGCCAGATAATTTTAGAAGCCATAGCGTGTGCACTTAACATTTAAAAATTTTGAAGCCAAATTACTTTTACCTCTCACTGCCTGGACTCAAAAACTATCCCATCAAGGAAGTTGCATGGAGTTAAGCATTCAGTGTCATCCTGTCCGCTTTCTCTTGCACTGCCGCTGACTTTGTAGAGTGTGTCTCCTACAGTGCCTCCTGCCCTCTCTCTCTGCCTGCCCACTCCATGCCTCTTCTTTCTCCTGATTTCTTTAGCTCATCAGCTTTGCTTTCTCCTGCACAGTATTAGGAACCTCTGGGCCTGATATGAAATATGCTAACCCATGCATATTCCTTCCTGTTCACTATCTGTCTTGACTACGTGTTCCACCTCTGCTGAACACAAAGTACTCACCTTAAAAATAAAGATTTAAAATGAGTGAGAAGTCACCAAATTCTTTGCATTTATTGTCATTACTTCAAAACCTGACGTTCACTCTGTGGGTGAGTTGCAAATCTGTCTGCACATAGACATGTGTTGAAGCCCGTGATGGAAAACAAATTCCAGGGTGCTCCCTGACCCCAACTACTGTTGCATGAATATTTTAGCAAGATGGATGTTAGATTTGGCTGTGTAACTAGCATTCTCCAGAGGTGGGAAACGTGTAACTATAATGAAATGCTTGGCCTTTTTAGTCCGCCAAAATAGTGTTTCAGGCAGATGCCGCACCACTGAGCTAAATCCCTGGCCCCAAAATAGTGTTTCAAAGACATTGCTATGGGAGAAGGTATTACCTGCTCAGTTACTGGAAGAATATTAATATCTTCCCCCTGGTCTACAGACCAAGGGCTTGTATTTATTTTAGCAGCCCGTAGTATTATAAACTATGCTGTTCTAGTCTGTACTAAAGACTTGGAGGTATTAATAATACTAATTAATTAATCATAATTATTAGAGCAGATATTTATTTATTTATTTATTTATTTTGGTTTTTCTCCGGTACCAGGAACCGAACTCATGACCTTGCGCTTGCCAGGCAGGCGCTTTGCCGCTGAGCTAAATCCCCAGCCCCTAGAGCAGATATTTATTGAGCACTTATTATGTACTAGGTATGAATTGCTTTAGTTTTACTAATTCTTACAGATTTTTAATTTATTGATTATTTGTGCTATTTTATTTAATCCTTGTAACATATATGTGTTTATTAGACCCATTTTCTGACATATATGTGTTTATTAGACCCATTTTATAGAAAAGAACACTCAAAAAGTGAAGTTACTTGCTCAGATCCATAAGCCAGGCTTTATGCTCGCTACCGTGATTCTGAGTGTTCCAGGTTGCATAACCCTAAGTCCTGCTGGCTCTAATGTGTGCCCTGTCACCTGAATTCCCACATCCTCCTGCATAGTTTCAGCATTCAGTAGAGTTTAATATGCAGGGTGCAGATGGTAGATGAGCTCAAAGAACAATCATTTAATAAACACAGCGACACTGGGAAATCGTCTGTCCTTAAAGGTGGCTCAGAATAAAAGCGAGGATCCCTGCTTGTAATTACATTGATGGGTGCTTCTGTCTTTTTAACAATAGACTCTGTGCTCTGCTCTCCGCTTTTCTCTTCCCCACCACCCCTTCGTGTGTGAATGTGGGTGGCTGCTATGGCAACTCTGAATATAACTCCTACTGCAAATGCAAGCTTTACAGTCAGCCTTTGCCATTATATTTGAATTTAAATACAAATATGTTTCTTCCCTATTTACCACAGCCACCCTGGGAAGACTTTATAATAGAAAATTTTGGTGTTTTAAACTCATGTTTACCAGAATTTTGATACGTAAGAAAATAGGAGAAAACAGTTGTGTGGTCAATATTCCCTGTGGAAATGGTCTTATGACTATATTTAGAAATTATTTACTATTTCATAAACATATGTAAACTCATAAACAAAAATAAATAAACCACATTATGAAATATTTGAATAAAATTGAGGAATATTTGATGCTTCCAATGTGAATTAGTAAATAAAATTAAGGAATTTGAGCTGTCCTTAAGCATGTGACCTCACTCAAGGTGTTGGTCACAATTTGATAATACAGCTCTGTTTTGCTTTACTAAAAACTTTCAGGAAAATAAAATTCCCCGTGTCTATCTTTGAAAATGCTGTTGTTTTTTTAGGGGAAAAAAATTCTGAAGGTCATTTAACCTTCAACTATCAAATTTATAATTCAGTGTTAAATTTCACATTAGAATAATACTTAAAGTTAGCTTTTTGGTATTTCTTCCCCTGCGAAATTAACTGTGTTCAAAGGAAACAAACCTCCAAGTTGAGAATGAGAAATCATCTTTGGTAACTTTCCAGTTAACCCCATAGATCATTGAAACACAAGGGCCTAAAACCATCTCTTTAGGTCACTTCCAACTGTGACCTTACCTTCCTTTTTAAATTAAAAGAGAAAAAGGGCAAGTCAGCTACATTTGCTGGCCTCAGTTTCCGTTATATATTGCTTCATTACAAACTGCCCCAAACCTCAGGACAACTCTCTATCTCCTCAGGACTGGGGGCGTTGACTTGCAGTTTTCCTGCTGGTCGGTCCTGGGCTTCTACCTTGCTCTGCATTCGGCTGCCCAGGTACCTGGGGTCAACTGCAGCAGGGGCAGTGCGAGTAGCTGTGCCTCTGTCTTTCGGGGGAGCCTCTCCTCAGGTCTGCCTCCCCAAGCGTGTCCTGGTGCGGCCTCCCCAAAGGGTGTCTGGAGGGTCGGGTTCTTCAGCTCTCTGGACACCACCACCCTGTAGTCTGTCTTTCCAGTATACCCCAAGGTCTGCTCAGACTGTTGAGGGTCGAGGAAAGGACAGCACCAGTGGATGGGCCGTGCCCCCAAGTCAGATTGTGAAGAAGTAACTATATTAGAGCAAGAGGAATTTTCGGGCATCCAACAAGTTACCACAGTGTTTCCCAAGAACGTTAGTGGGAAGCTCAGATGTCGTTCTCCATAACCCTACCCACACAGCCACGTTTTACTGCCAGTGAAATAAGGCGCACACGGTCACATTGCCAGTGAACTCAAGGGCCCCGTGTGTAGCAACCACTGCTCATAGGCGGCCAAGACAGACTGAGTAAGCACAGCCCGCTGGTGTTAGTTTGCTCCCTCCCCTTCTGTGGCTTCCTGCCGCACTGGATAGAGGCACCGACGGCCCCCAGGGTGGGGCACAGGAACCTGGGGAACGTGTGCCGGTTCACCTGCGGCAGCTGATTTTCGGAGACCAGCTGGAAACTGCATTTGGAAGACAAGGGCTGTGGTAGGGGAAAGCAGAGCTCTGGGCTGCCTTCCTGTGTGTGTCTTCACTTACGCGTGAGACCTACCTGCCACCAGGCAGCCGTCTTCTAATGTGTCTGTGCTCTAAACTTCAAACGAGACAACTGGACGAAGCGTCCTGTTTGCTAGGTAAGATACCAAAATGTTTATGAGCCTGCACCCATAGTGTCAGTGCTGTACTAGTACTGCCATTATTATTTGACTGATTCTTCTGCTGGCCTTCAGCTAAGGTTCTAGTGGGGGTGAGAGACGGCCCAAAGGCTGTCTGTGAAATACCCACTGGAGCTAGGACATTTACTGTTGTGGAACCCTTGACACTCATTGTGTTTCTCTCTCCCTGCACACTTTTATGAACTCCACTTGAAACTCTTATTTCTAGTGAATTGTTTTTTCATGCCAACTTTAGGCCCAGATGGTAAACAATGGTGTATAATAGTGAAACTATACTATGCACCATTTTGAAATTGTACAAATAAAATACTAATATCACTGGAATGATAATAGATAGGTAAGTAAACAAGGATAGGTGGACACTCCCCATCTTTAAATTTACCTGGTTTCCATAAGTGATACTGATATTTGGATATTCTGGGGCTGACATGGGGCCTTACAATAGTACTTGTTT